TGGGGGAAGTGAATGAGCAGCTGTGTTGCTGGCTGGTGTTAAACCGTGACAAGAGGCTAAAATTCTTAGTCTAATTTTTCTTTGCAATTCTACAGTGACATTCACTGATGATTTGTCTTCAGATAGTAAAGGTTGTAAAGCTTCTGTATGACTAAGGAAGAAGAATGACTAAACACATTGCATACTTTTTTTAATCAAGAAGTTTGATAGTCATCAAATAAATCTGATGTGAATATTGGGGCATTCACTTTTACCACAAATTAAAAAAGAAGAAATAAAAAGGAGATTGTATATTTTTCAGTAGAGCTATTGTACTTCTGTTGGCATTTCTGGATGTTTGCTATGGATTTATATGGTTCTAAGCAGTAGATTTTTAGGAGTGGTATAAAAAAATGAGTCTTAGACTAGAATTTTGGCATATAAACAGGTGGGTTTGGGTGTATGTTGGTGGGTTTGTTTTTTTTAAAAATTCTTTGGATAAAATAACCACTCATCTCCAGACTTGAAGGATTAAGGTGGTAAATGCTTGGGCTCTTGTTTTGTTGTGACCCTTTCAGCTGGCACAGAACTTATTTTTGGATAAGATCTTACAAGAGACCAAATAATTTAAAACTACTTGTCTTGGGAATACTTTCAAGTGATGGCTGTAGAAGACTAGTTGATGAGAAGACCATGTTTAAATCTAGGGTTATCACAGTCTTGCTTATCATCATGGCTTCAATCCTGTAAAATATCAAAGTGGCTCAGAAGGAAGGGAAGTATTGGGGTTTTTTTGTTTTGTTTTGTTTTGGTTTTTTTTAGCTTAAAACAGAAGAAGAGTTAATTCAACAGAATAGTCAATTAGAAATACATTGGTATAAGAGCAAACCTTGATGTTAAGCTCAACTAGAACTGCCTTTCTAGAGGCTTTTAGAATACTCTGGGAAGAAGGATTAATTTTGCAGAAAAATACCTTCTACTACACCTATCATTATGGGCTGATACCTTATTCCAAGCAGCAAATCTGAGTGACTTTCCAGAATTTTTTTTCTTTGCTCTTTTTTCTCTTGGATAGTCTTTCTTGTTTCCTTTTGTGACTGGTAAAGAATTCTGAACACTTCTAACTGAGCATCTGGTACTGACAGTGACTTTTTCTTTGAGTAAGAACTGGTTTCATTTATCTGTGTTTTATTTACTGTGAAAGAAAGCTTTTCCCAACAGGTCACAGACTATCCCACCTGTAAGATGCATCAAACACTCAACAAAGGAATGTTCTACTTGTCTCCTACTTGGAATATATATTTCATAAGGATGTAAAATACCTCAACTCAAATTTAATCTGCTGTATTTGCTCAAGGAACTTAGCTAAAATCTAAGAAAGAGAAGGGTTTGTATTCAGCTGTGGTTTCTTGCCTGCTTGATTCCATCTACCAGATTCCAGCTGTAGGTCACAGCACAGGTCCTTTGAATAGGGCAGCATGGCTTTAAGCGATATATTCAAGGATATTCCTTTGTCCTGGAAACTTGTGAAGTTGATGATTCTTTGATATTTTAGTAGGGAAACCATTGTGGGAGATCTTGTGGTATAGCATTAATCATCATATTAAGACTAATTCATAGCAGTGCTCTGAGCATCAAAGCATTAATTCTTGTTTCCATGGCTTTCCTATGTAAAATATTGACTATTTAGATCAAGATATGCAAACCAGTGTAATGGTTTTCTGTGAATAAAAAGGGAGATAGCACAAGTCATCATGAGATGGAGTCAGCTTCTGAAATTAATTTTCAACACCAGGTATTACTGTTCTGTCAACTCCTTGTGAAGACAGGACAACAAATAATCTTTAAAAGACCTTGTTGCAAGTCTTTCCTTTTCAGTGTGACTTTCGTGTGGGCCACATTAAGTAAAAGGATCAGTAAATGTAAAATCTTACATTTTGGAGATGATAGAAGCCAAGCTTCTGGGTGGGGCATGTTTGTAATTATGAGAGGTTCTGTGTTAAGGAAATTCAAGCAGGAGGTGTCCATAGACAGGCCATTACCTGTGGCTTTCTGTTGAAATAAGGTCAGACATAGACTGTTAGATGTACTAAAGTTTTGATTTGCCTTAGGAATTTTGTTCTTTTACTGTTTACACTAAAAAGTAACTGCCTCCTTTCAAATGGATGTATGTAAGATTTTTGCTTGGTTGCTCAGCCTATTGCAGTTATTGAAGTCTCTTGCACCCCCCCCCCCCCCCCCCCCCCGCCACGTCCCCCCCAAAACCCCAAACCACTGTGTATATTGTCACTTTCCATCACTTCTAGACCAGTAAAATTAAAAACATCTCTAGTGGAGTGTAATAATCTAGAGAAAGTACTTGGTGTTGTTTTTAGGGACATTTACCATTAAATTAGGCTTTCATTTTAATGTTAAAGAATATTATACTTTCCTTAAGTATTTCAAAATGAACCGTTGTGCTAAAAGAAAAGATTGTAGGGTATTTGCAGGATCAGAAATTTTTGTCTGTTGGAAAGCTAACAACAATGTTATTTGGATGGTATTTGAGAAATGTGCCTCAGACTGTGACCTGTGATACTTTGAAAGAAAGTTCCATTAGATATTAACTGATGTTGCAGAGATATTTTGGAACTTGCAAAGGATTTTTTTTGTGTTGCCTTCTTTTTTTGTATGCTTCCTAGAATTGGCCTTAGATGTGATGTAAGCCTTAGAAATGACTTGAAAGTAGATGATAATACTTTCATATCTAAAGCTGTTAAATTCATCCACAGCCATTAAAACACCCTACGAATGGGCACTCCTGTTTTGCTGTTCTCACCTACTAGAACAACACGTCTTTGAAAAAACTATATTCTCTTGTTTCTGTTGCACTGGAGCTCCAATCTTTCATATTCTCAAACTGATTTTACTCCCAGTGAGGGTGATGATGCTTACTGTTCTTGCTAAGCCCTACCTAGATGTAGTTCAAAAAGAAGTAGTACAGATCCTTAAATCAAAGTATTTTTCAGCTCTGGTCCTGTCGTCCAGCATGCTGCATTCCCTTTCATGTTGGCATCATCATCAGATTTAATAAACATCATCTCCTTTCCATCATAAGTCTTTCAATGAAATGCAAAGTCATATTTTACCAGAAGAAAACACAGTCAGTGCATTCTTCCTGGATGAAGCAAGACGTGAACTAATCTTTTTTTGAAACTTGCTTTCCAGTTAGCTCTGCACACATCTGATAGCAGTTGTATCTAGATTATGTTTCTGTAGATTGTTCTGCATGGTGCTCTCACAAAACACTGCAAAAACCTTTCCAAAGTGAAGATAGGACATCTGTTGCTTCCCTTTTATTTGCAAGGACAGTTATCTAATTTCTGTAATGATAGTGAAAAAATGTAGTGTATTCTTGTTGAATCGATGTAGGCTGTTAATTGCATATGTGTTAGATTCTAGGTGCACACAAGTGGTTTGCTTATGTTTTCTAGTATTTGTGTGGAAACTTCATTTCAGTTAATTGATCTGTAGTTCTGTGGTTGCTTCTTTTTGATGAAGCTACGTGTGGGCACATACTTGATTAAATAGTAAATGTAGCTCACTGAATAAAACCAATCTGAAGTTAGTGCATGTGATCTCCTTAACTTGCAAGTGTAAAGAGAAAAGAGGCAGTAGAGACAGCATCTGAGAAATGGCTCTCTGAAGCATTTTGAGTATGTTAGTGAGAATTAACATTGCCTCATTTGCTCTGATGCCTCTTCTGCGGTAAGACAGAGTTGCAGAAGTTACCGTGTTCTTTCTGATAAGGTAGGATCAGAATTTTTGTACTTCCGAGCCTACCCATCTTTTTGATTTTGGCTGTGTATGGCCCAGTAAACATGTCTTTTGTTTCATTATATTGTCAGTGGTTTGTGTTAGAGCTCTACCAGTGATCTGATATATGAGGCAAGTTATTCTACCTTTGTCTACCTTCTTTTCACTGTTTGTTTTGTGTAGAGTTGGCCAGTTTGGCTTTGAGCTTTAAGTGGCTTGCACCAAACATAGCTCTTATGCTGGGGCTATAAACAATTCTCAATGATATTAGGCTGGCAAGAAGACTTCTTGGCTATCAGATTCCCTAAATATGGAAAGCAATGAACTGCTAAGGGTTTCCAGTATTTTTGCTACTGGCACCTGTCATATGCCCACCAGCCCACAGTGGTGAGAGCTCCAGGGACCATTCCTGCCAGTGAAACAATTTGTGTCACTGTTTCTCCTTTTGCAGCTGAGATTTTTGGTTGTTATGCAAAGATTTTGGTACATGACTTAAAAAGCGTGAAAAAGTTGGTCATCTCTGGCCTAGACACTAAACAGTTTTTCAGTGACTTTTGTGTTCATAAAATGCTCGTTCATCACCGTGAGACCCAGCTGCTGTTGTAATTGATGTTCCAGATAAACAGGAGACAGGAAATAGTCACAGATCATGAACATACATGCTCAGTTGTCATAACCTCAAATACCTGGTTCTGAAACTTGCTCACCTGGAGGCTTACTGTGAGACTTTTCCACAAGGGAAAAATTAAACATTAAAATAGGTAAAAATGACTAAATATTGGTGTATTAAAACTAAGATTCATCCCAGGTATCTGGATGCCAGGGATAGGGAGCATGTAGCCGTGTTACTGTGGCACAGGTAGAGGGTTGTGACCTGCAAAATTCTACACAAAGTAGAGAATTTGATGGCTTTGACTAATTGATATTATTCTAATAACACACTCAAACCACGGCATTTTGTGTGTATATTTTCTGTGTTAAAATGGGAAAGAAGATAGTTGGCACAGATCCTAAAGTTTCTTATGCTGTTGTGAGAACTGCTAATCAAAAGAGAATGGGCCTTCTGCATCTTTCCCACCTTTTGTCCTTTCCCAGAATCATAAGGATGAGTATTTCTAGTATTCACATCGTCTTTACTATGTCAGTCGTTTGTACGCTGTAGAATAAAGTTAGCGTCTGCTACTGTCTGTAACTGCTTAGCACATTCTTCTTATCTTCATTTTTAGCTGTACGTCCTTGACCCCTGGACCTAGCTGTGACCGGTTTAAGCTACATATCCCGTATGCTGGAGAAACACTCAAATGTAAGTTAAAAACTATTGCTATTGCATCTTGGCCTTTCTTTCAGTGTTCTGTATTGCATTGTTTTCCAGTGTGTCTAACTAATTTAATGAGTTTTGAGATACTTCTGTATGTTGTTTTTTCTTAAAGCTTCAGCTCTAAGAACATGCAGCTTTAAGAATATCTAATTTTTAAGATAAGTTTACAGTCTTCCTTGATATTACAGATTTGAAAATGAGTCCTAAAAGCCAAAAGTACCCCCCCCCCCCGGTCCTCCCCCCCCCCCCCCAGTATTTCTAATAAAATGTTATGTCTAAGACAATCTCATAACCATTTTTAGACTCACTTATGATTTGTATATGCTTTGTATTGTTTCTTTCTCTTTTAGGAAGAATTCTTTATTAAGCTCCAATAAAAGAAGTCAGTCTGTTATTTTATTAGGTATCTCTAAACACTTAACTGGTATAATTGACCAGATTAGAGAAATGTGACTTTGGTTTTTCTGATTTTTTGGTGTGGTTAAATCCTCCTTAGCCTTGGAGGATCTGTAGATAGCCGGCTCATTTTCCCACTCATCAATTAGTTTGTGTTTTGTTTCAAAGGGTTAAAATAAAATCTGCTTTTGTATGTTTTTAGAAGGTAAAAAACAGCTTCCTAAACACTTGAGTTGCTGAAAAATTGTAAAGATGTATTGTGTTTTTTTTATCTCTAACAACTGAAATATGAGAGAGGATGAAGAATTTCAGATAAAGTAAAATTTAAAGCTTGGCAATTTTAGATTTAGGGCAGCCCTAGTGAAACCACATCTGGAGTACTGTGTCCAGTTCTGGTCTACTTAGTACCACAAAGGCATGGACTTATTGGAATAAGTGCAGCAAAAGACCACAAAGATGATTGAGAGACTGGAGCATCTGTTGTACAAGGGGAGGCCAAAGAGGGCTGGGGCTTCTCAAGAAGAGAAGGCTCAGGGGAAATCTTACAATGTGTATAAATACCTGATGGAGGGGAATGAAGAAGATAGAGCCAGGCTCTTCTCAGTGGTGGTCACTGAAGAGAAATGGTCACAAACTGAAATACAGAAAATTCCATTTACATGTAATAAAAAACCTTTTTTGCAAGTATGGTCAAACAGTGGACCAGGTTGCGCTCAGAGCTTCTGTAGCTTGTCTATCTTTATCCTTGGAGATACTCAAAACCCAAGTGGACATGACCTTTGGTAATCTGCTCTTGTTGACTCTGCTCTGAGGTGAGGGATTGGACTAGGCAGTCTCCAGAGGTGCTGTCCAACCTCAGCTATACTGTGAGTCTGTGAAAATATGCTGTCTGGAGGAGCAATTACTTGGTGTGAGCAGAAATGTTAAACATTTAAAACACACACTGCTTTGATAGTATCCATTTAGTTGTATTCCTTCTGTAGTAGTTTTTCTTGTCATAATGTAGTGCACTGGAAGTCCTTCTCGTTTATGAACAGAAGTGTCCTGGTTTCAGCTGGGATAGAGTTAACTGTCTTCCTAGTAGCTGGTACAGTGCTATGTTTTGAGTTCAGTATGTGAAGAATGTTGATAACACTGATGTTTTCAGTTGTTGCTCAGTAGTGTTTAGACTATAGTCAAGGATTTTTTCAGCTTCTCATGCCCACCCAGGGCACCTGACCCAAACTGGCCAACAGTGTATTCCATACCATGTGACGTCCCGTCTCGTTTAGGAACTGGGAAGTGGGGGGGCAGGGATTCGCCGCTCGGGGACTGGCTGTGTGTCGGTCGGCGGGTGGTGAGCAATTGCCCTGCGCATCATTTGTACATTTCAATCTTTTTATTACTACTGTTGTCATTTTATTAGTGTTATCATTATCATTATTAGTTTCTTCTTTTCTGTTCTATTAAATCGTTCTTATCTCAACCCAGGAGTTTTACTTCTTTTCCTGATTTTCTCCCCCATCCCACTGGATGGGGGGGGTGTGAGTGAGCGGCTGCATGGTGCTTAGTTGCTGGCTGGGGTTAAACCACGACAAGAAGTCAACACAATTAAACTTCTTACCATTAGAAGTATTTTAAAGCTTCCATTTGGCACCTATAAGGAAAGTTGTCATTCCCAGAAATTGGTTTGGAAGTTTGCTCATGTGTTCGAGAGAGGAGGTGGTCATAGTAGACTGATACATGAGCCTATTTTAACTATTCTAGAAGTATGAAATCATGGCTCAAGAGCCTTAGTAATAATTCTTTTCCAAAAGATAAAAATGGAATAAGTCCTAGCTGGCAATTATTTTAAGAAAAAAAGACGTGGCTATGCATTTATTCAGAATTTTCAGTAAGTAATGGTTCTATTATATGAAGCCAGCTACCCTACCAAGTAGATTTTTTTTTTCCCTTATTTAAACTTTTTTTTTAAATTGTAATATTGTGTAGCAGACTCAATCTGTTGATTCTTGATGTGTCTTGCAATGTGTACTAGATTCTACCTGAGACTGGTTTGATGGCTACGATCAAGATGCAGCAAAAAGAAGCTTAATTGGATGATGTTGCTCTAGAGAATGGAATCATATTTTCTATGGGACTGTAGTAACTCTCTCATTTATCACCATATAGGGCCCTGTTATTACATTCTGAGAGCTTTAAGTCTTGTTTTTAAGTAGAGGCTAGAATTGCTCCTGATTCATAAAGGAAAATTAGTAGATTAAAATGCCCATGTGCAAGGACATAGGCATACAGACTACACTAATACACTAAATGACTGTAGTCCAGTTAAAGTACCTAGAAATATGATTATGGACTACACGATAAACTTCAATATTGAGAAATCAGCCCCCCCCCCCCCCCCCCCGCCACCGTTCTTAGATTTTTGAGTATCTCGTAAGCAATTAAAAAAAAAGAACTATAATGCTAGTGCTGTTTTCCACCTTTGCAAAACGCAAACCACACAATTTAACCATGCTGTATATTTTAATATGACCAACTGAAAGTGGTGTAAACAAGTGTATCTTTTCCAGAGGTACCTAATAATAGCAATGAATTCAAGTAATAATAATCCTCCACATTTCAGCATTACATGTTTGAAAATGCTGTGCATCATTCAGCCTCAAAGCATGTGGAATAAATAGTAATGTGAGCAGATTCAAGAAAGCTTTAATAATTTTGTGTTTAGATCTATAATGATGGCAGGGGAAGACGGCCATGGTGTGCAACCAGAGATTTGTAGATACTTTGTTGTAGGCTGTTGCTAGATATGTTATCTTTCAAGGGCAGAGTATTTCTGCAAAGGAAAGTTGTGAAATCTGCCAGAATAAAAAGATTGGCTGAAAATGTTCAGGATCTCCAGTGTAGGTCTTCATTATGTGGTGCCCAAATACAGGCTGAAGTGTGTAGTTCCTTTGTGGTTTGTGTTACATCCACTTTGCATATCATCAATCATAACCACTGCCACTGCACAAATACCCTAGTATGAATCCTACTGTGTTGAAAATTGTTGGTATGCTAGTTTAGAGAAGTATAACTGCATAGTCACGGTCCTGTTTTCCAAAAGACCAGGAAGTTTCACTGTTTTTTGAAAAGGGGGAAAGTGTACTTGCAGGCAATGCAGTGGCTGATTACCTGTAGTGTAAAGTAATTGTTTTGTTAGCTTCAGTAAGATCAAACATCCTTTGAGTTAAGAATGGCTTGTTGGTAATTTTAATACATTTTCTTGAGATCCAGTTAGCTATTTAATAAATTTTTTTTCAGATGTCACGTTCACCTTAATTCTTGCATGTATTCTGAGCTGCTGGAATGTTACACTGAACATTTACTCAGCTCCAGCTGGGAACATTGGAGATACCCACAATTTTATATTGGAGAAAATATTGTGTCGGTATTGGAGATAAATTTGTTTGTCATACTAATTTTCTTCCATCACACTTCAGAAATTTTTAAATGGTGCTTTCAGAGAGACACTTTTACTTTATTTTCTTCTGTAAGAGAAACCATAAATTTTGTGTTTTCATGGCCAGAAATGGTTGGAGAACTTGAACTTACTCTTACTAGACTGTCAATTAAAATCTGAGACAGCTGTATTGTTTTTATTAGTTCATCTAGCACTCAGTACTGGTATATTAACCTCAGTGCTTTTCTTTATGTTTGAATTTTTCAAAGCTCTTAATAGGACTTTTAACTCCAAGAAGACAGTCTGTAATACCTGTAAGAGGTTGAATCTGTGTTCCAAGTACAAAATTTATTCTAAGCACTCTGGTATGCAGAGCTGTCCTTTATTGCGAACTGGACAGCTGTATCTGCTGGGTAAAGTTTGTTATCCTTTCTGGGAGAAGTATTTGTGTATTTTCAGGTGAAGCGTTTTGTAACTCTTGCAGACGTATTGCTCTTCCTTGCTAAAACATCAAGGCAGATGTCACCGTAGAAATTGTCAGGATAAGCAGAGTTATAAGCTGTAGTAGTCTTTATTGAATAATATTAATAATTAAAATCCATCATTAAGAATCAGTTCCTTGGTCATTGCAATTTTGTTTCAGCAAACCCTGGAATATCTTGGGTTTGACTTTCTATTTTCACTCAAGCTTTCACTGCTGCTTGCTACTAAGAGAGCCTGACTCTTATGTTTTTATGCCTGTGCTCTTCACATTTTCTTTTTCAGGCACTGATGCCTCCCTCCCTCTCCGTCCTTGAGTGCTGTCATCTGGAATTTCACAGTGATTAAACAATGTGTTGCCCTTGTGATGCTACTGTTCTCTGTGGCCTCTTGAACTCTAGTATTTTCATCTTCTGTCTGATTTTCACTGTTTTTATGAGTGGATTACAGTTACGGGTTCTACTGCCACCACTTTGGTTTCCTTGATCCCGAAGAATGTTTCTTTTGTCTCGTTTGAAGCTTAGTTATTCTTTTTTTGCTTCTGATTTTTGTTTCTTAGTTTCTTACTCATTTTAGTTACAGACCTTAGAGGGGGGAAATTACAGTTTTGCTGCCTAACTAGTCTAAGAATATTGCCCATAACATACTGTACAGAATTTCATTTGCTTTTGTTCCTGTGATGGAACTC